TGATTTCTCACAGCAGTACCACCAGAGGCATCTGCAGAGCCTCCCATGTGATATGTACCACCAGGCCTGCTGCACAAACCCTTTTTTCTGTTAGCCTTGTGCTGTGGAATTCCTCTGCGATCCAGGAAGCAGGTTCTAGGATTTCCATTGGAATTTGGGTCATCTCAGCAGAGAGGCAAACAGCAGGAGCTCCCTGAGCCCACAGTGGTGCAGCAATGCCATGCTGTCACCTGGTGAAGTCTATCTGACACCTGTGGAATTCCCAGAGCTCCTCCTCTGGCTCAGTCCTGAAGCCAAGTGCAGTACTGAGAACACCAGCCCCTTGCTTCCCACTTCCACTGCTGCTGAGCTGTCACCAGGAGGTCCTGACTGGCTGTAAGGCAGGAGCTGATGCTTTCACAGAGGTGGGACAACATCCATGAAAAAGGCAGCAAAAGCTGCAGCCTGCAAGCTCAATGCAGTTGAAGCCAGGGACTGGATCACACCTCAGGCATGGGGAACACATCCCCCTGAAAAGCAGCTGAGTAATGGCTCCTGGTCCAGGGCCTAACTGCTGGATTCCTAAGGACTGCAAGGATCTCAGCTCACACTGAATTCTGATCTAATAACTCATTCTCCCATGGGAATCATATTCCCAGATCTCCCCTCTCCTCCCCCCTGGATCCTCTGAATAGTTGCACACACGCAGAAGCTGAAACCCGACCCAGGTCGCTCCTAGAAACTCAGGAAGAGCACACCCAGGGCCTGAATTTGCAGGATCAGGCTGAGGGCAGAGCCGTGGGGGGAACTCCCAGGGAGCCGCAGGGCAGAGAACTCAAGAGCCCAAGGACAGGTGAGGGAGCTGAGCAGGGGCAGCAGCAGCTGAAGAACAGAGAGGACACCGACACCCAGTCACGCTGCCCCCTCACTCACAATGTGCATTTCTACGGTTCCAACTGCTCTTGTAAAGAATTGGGACTACCCCTACCAATTCCTTCAACATTTTGTATCCACTCAGTACCAGCAGAGCCAACACCCGTGGGGTAACTCCCAGTGAGGCTTCTCCTGGCTGTTTGGCACTGCAGCAGGGAACAGCACAGTAACACCAGAGCTGCGTGAACCAACAGCACTGCTCTCTGTACCTGACCTCACCTGCAAGGCAAAACCCCAACAAGTCATTTTCCACGCTGTCAGTCCCTTAATATCAGCACAAATATGTTACACAACAAGAGGCACTACAGACTAGAACTAATTCCATAGAACTCTGCACACAAAGATGGAACTGCCTCTGTTTGAGATGGAGAGAACAGGAAGGGTGAAGATTCGGAGCAGCTCAGAACCCGTTTTTGCTGCTTCTCTGTGTAAGTTCAACCATATATCCAATATTAATGCACCCATTATATACAATATTAATGTAACCACGTTCTTAACTATCAAAGCACTGGAAACAGCCTATCTGAACAGTCTGAACTGTGTCAGTGTGGAGCAGAGAATCTTGAACAAAACTAATGCAATACAGACACAAGTGTTGTTGTTGCCCACATTATAACTCACACAGGTTAACTCAAAGGGATTTTCTCAGAAAAGCAACTGGAGCTAATCTGGTATTTTTTTTTAATTCTCCCCATGTGTTCTGGTGTGTTTTAGAGTTCACCTGTTACTTGAAACTGGCCCTCATTGCACTAAATGTCATTTTTGGAAGAAGCCACACATACCTCAGATTAACATAAAGACTGAAGAATAGTGGTGCTTAATTATGGCTATAAAACACCTGCCTAAAAAAAAACAAAGGGGGGGGGAAGGAAAGATGTTTTTGTTAGTTTTCAAACAGGTGTTATTTCTCTGGAACATAAGTTAAAATATAAATGATCCAAATAGTAACTATGAAAATATTCTGTAGCTTTTTTTCCACAAGCTGATTTTTCTTGAAGAGCTATAGTCACATGTGCAAAATGAAAATTAATTTCATTACTTGGTTGATTTTTGACATTTCAGGATGGTATTTTAGGATATTCTTTGTTGGGAGGGGGTAAAAGCATTCCATAAAGTTCAGAATTATATAAAACTTGCAACAAGACTACTGATTTAATGCCACTAGGTTTTCAACAAAAATATCATTTTAAGGAGAAAAATGTACACATTCACAGTCCTTGATCCGAGTTTAAGCTGTTCTGGTGTCTCCTCAGCCAAGTGTGGCAGATGATATATCTAAAAAAAACCAACAGAAAAACACCCCAACAAACCCACTACTGGGAACCTAAAAAATGGAAGTAACAGTCAAATGTAATAAATTTTTAATTAGTGGATGATTTTGTTAGGGTGAAGACTTCTCAGATCAACCCATCAACAGGCACATAGAGTCCATCTATCTGATAAGTAAAACCCTGGACCAGCATGCAAGGGACTGATTTCTGTTACTTATCCCATAAATACCAGATGTGGCAACTCCCACAGCTTTCCTACTGTAAGAAGGGGGATAATGTTTATCTTTTTTTGACAGGAACCCCCCTCAAATGCCTACAGGGCACTGCAAAATCACTGAAGTCAACGTATTGTTCCAATGCATTTGCTGGCAAAATCAGTTTACTGAATGCTGTAATTTTAATTTGGTCATGAAACACTACCAGGAATGGAAGTTGTCACCCTGCACCAACGGGAAACCACCTTTGAATGCAAACCTTGTTCAGCTCCCCAGCTGATCAGCCTGGACAGAGCTGCTCTGAAACCCACGAGCTGTGCCAGGTGAAACCAAGTCAGGATACAGCCTTGTGTTGAACACGTTTCAATGTCTAATGCTTTATTAAAAGTCTGCATAAGAGCAGAGAGGATATTCTTTATTATGAAAGACGTGCCCTGGCTGGTGGGCTGAGCAGGGTAACACTGCAGCCAGCCCAGCACAGCCCCCACCAGCCCTGCCCACCCTCAGTGCCCCCGCCAGGAGCAGCAACAGGTTTGAAACGAAGGTAAACACAGCCAGGTAGATCAAATCAAACACCTCACACAGGAGGAGTGTTAAGGTTTATCAAGCTTGTAAAAACCAGCATCACCCAGATAGCTGAACGTGCTGCTCAGCAGCGAGGCAGGAGCTCACTGCACCGGGGAACTGATCAGAAGGCAGCCACTGCCAGGGTCCCAGTGCTTGGGACACTGCAACAACCACGCTGCATTACTCACCTCAGGGGCTAGAGAAGCAAACACAAATATCCACTATCAGACCGCTCTTCTCTCTGTAGGACAGCCAGAGCTGCACCTCCAAACACCAACAGCCACGGCCACCAGCGTGCCTCCCACTACTGAGAGCCACAGACAACTTCCAGGTGGAAAAGCTGCCACTGATTTTGCAATATTCATTACAACAAATGGCTGACCAGGATGAGACACAGAACTCAGCCAGTCCTCACAAACACAGCTGCAGAGAGCTGTATTTCACTGCTGTGCCTGAGCAACCCTTCCAGACAGCAGAGCAGGGAGTGCCCTTTGCTGTGTGCACTCTTCACAATGAAATGCAATATATAATACTAAAGATAAAATCATTATATATTCTGTGTAAGACTGAATGTACAGCTTTCATCTTTCATTTAAACACTATATAATTAATTCTACTAAGTCAAGGAGGAATTTGGCCCTCAGTATATTTAATGAGAATTCGTACAAATAACCTTACATTAATTCTTAACTGTGCATATTTAGCTATTCAACCATTTTATTTCATATACAAGCTACTCTAAAAACCTCCATGCTAATTATTTATGAACTAAAGCTCCCCTCACCCAGTGGCAATGAGCTGAGTGTACACAGATCCAGTCTGGGGTCATTTACAGGGCTGTTTCTCCATAAGAGTCACGTAGACTCCAGCAACTTAAAACTCTTTTATTAAGTTTTCTTGGAAGTGGTTGGACCTTAAGCCATTACACTGCAGAAAACTCATGCTTCATCAGTTTTGTGGATAAGGAATTTCATTCTGAAGCTATTAATCAGGCACTTTGCACAAAGTCATTCAGAAAAAGTGAAGGTGAACTTGTCCTTTTGCTGTAAAAAATGGGTAAGCACAGCTCCCCTCTCCCAGCCCAGCTGCTGACAGAGGATAACAACCTACAGCTCCTACCAGCCACGGTCAGACTTTCAGCCTAACCAGTGCAGGCTGCTCCTTTCACATGAAGCCCCCAGCTCTGGCATCTACAGGAACAACACCATGGCAGCTGTTCCCAGGAAAACAGAGCTAAGAGAGAACAGAGCCTGCCTGAACACAGCTCAGCGTGACTGTAAAACAGTCTGGGATAACTGGGAAACAACTTGGAGAATCCTCACAGCCCAGAGTTTCTGAACTGAGCAGTGTTTTCTTGGGAAGCAGACCTTCACAAACGGCACCATTGCTTCTGCATGACTTACCTTGTGTGGCAGAGGGATTTGCCAGCTGAAGTAATTTAGAGACATTAAATAGTTTATCATTGCACATTTAAACAGTTAAAGAGCGCGTATCAAGCAAGACAGTATTTGGAAATCCAAAGCTACCCACAAAGCCAGTTTGCATCATTAAAATGAAGTCTATCAATTCACTACACATGAGAAACAAATTATGAAGTCCTCCCTCCACAAACAATAAGGCTTCGCAGGAGGGAAATTCCTGCTTTTCATGCTGCTCCCTCTATTCAAAGTCCAACTATTTCTAATGGAAATGTTGTTTGCTATGGAGATTATGATTCAGCCTTCTTTCTCAGCCACCAGCACATCACCACTCTCACAACAAGTGCACAGATTCAGAGCGGGGCGTGAAGATCTCTCTTGAGGGTTTACACTCAATTATGCACATGGTTTTTAAAGCATCCCACGAGCTAAGAGGAAGTGAAAGCAACTTCTGAGCCGAGGCTCTGAAGTCTGAGCTACCCAAGGACTCGAAGAAGCATCGCAGCTCCGGGGAATGAGGAGACAAGCCGGGGACTGCAACGCTGCCCGCGCGCGATGCACCCGAACGGGAGATGCTCCCGGGAGCTGCGGCCCAGGGCGAGGGAGCAGCCCGTTACCTGCAGGACGAGCTGCTGCCAGGCGGTCGCCAGGGGCTGGCCATTGCCAATGTTGCAGATGCTGACTCGGTCTGCGGGCTGGCTGGCACGCTCCAGCTGCAGGGACACATTGCGCCGCTCCTCCTCCAGCGCGCGGGTGAGCCGCTCGAAGCGAGCCTCCTGCTCCTTAACCGACGCCAAAATGCTGGCAGCAGACCTGATATCATAGTCATCCATGGCTGCTGGCAACGCTCCTGCCTGTCAACTGACCAGGGCAAACGGACAGGGGTCAGGCACAGGGTGGGGAGGGCACAGGTCAGGGGTTAAAAATAAAAATGCACAGCGTTAGTCACCCTACTAAAATACGGTTCACCCTAAGAAGCAAACTGCAGTGGTCTTTGAAAAGCATCCATCTTTCCATCCACTAACTTGACTTTAAATTAAGAATAATTAATCTAAGCCTTCCCTTTTCAAAAAATAAAATTAAAAAAAATGCTCACCTTGGAGAGAATTTATATTTAATTCCTTTGATCTTTTTGCTAAAATTGCTCTGACAAGGGTTTTCATCCCTCTCGCAGAGCTAATTTCACTGTGCAAATAATAATGTACTTAAAAGAAATATATAAAAAAAGATCTGGCTTTGGAGGGAATGACGAACATTCTCACTACAGACACCTGGAATTTCTGTCTTTAACAGCGTAAGTGAGAAGATTACCATTTTTAAAAGGACAGAAACGTCATGGTACAAGAAAACAGTCATCTCCATTTTTCCCACCCCCTGCCCAAACTTAACAGACAGTAGCTGAAAATAGTTTTCATTTTTAAATTATAGCAGCACACTGTAATATGGAAAACATTTTTAAATGCAGAGTGTGCAAGTGCAGTGGAAATGTGCTTGATGATTTCAGCCAATGAAACAGCCCTTCATGCAGCTGCTCGCTAATAATGCAAATGGAAAAGCCAAAATCAAACATCTTCCATGGAAAACACACAGGGCTGCTTGTCTCTCAGTGCAGAAAAAAGAATCAGGAACCAGCTATATGGGATCTATCTTCTGCCTTGTGTCTCCTCCAGCAGGGTTATGAAGTGCCCCATTTCAAACCCCATCTCCAGCTGCATGGTGCACGCAGTAAAAACCCATTGATCCACAGGTCTGGGATGTGAACATCATTTAAACCTCTTCCTAAGAGCATGAAATCAGCAGCACAATATAAGCATAAATGATGGCTTCACCAGAACCCTTTCACTAAAACAGTAACCAGTTTACTACTGGACTAAAGCACCTCTGAGATGAGCAGAGGCAGAACTCCTGTAATTCAAGAACTGTTCATATTCTGTGCTGAGAGTTAAGTCCTGAGAAATTGTCCCTTGATGTGCTGCCAAAGATTCTTTGTTTTCCATCTATCAACAAGGATTTCCATGAGCACAGATAGTTCCAAGCCCTGGTTTCCTGATGCTTTGCTATTCCTCGTTCAGTGCCTTCAGATGATGCACACGCTCCTGACTGATGCATTTTCCATGAGTTACATTTATCAGATCCCTCTCCTGTGCAGATTCTTTGGTAGGGACTGATAACGTGGTCAGGTACTGGTATGTTCCCAAAGGAGGAATATTAGTAGGTATTAAGCTGCATATTTTCACAGTTTGTTGGAAAATCCTAAGCAGGCCCGAGGTCTCCTTTCTTTTGTCCTATATGGTTGAAATCATTCAAGGGGCCCCAAAGATACTGGGGCAGAAGTAACAGACCCCAACCCAACGACATAGACCTTGACTTCATGGGAAATAACCTGCCAGTAGCTCTGTGTCCATTGGCAGCTCTTACAGAGTTGCTAAAGGAATCAGGGTTAGTAGGAAATCACGTTGGCAACAGTGTAAGGATTACCATCTATTAATCTCATACTGCTCACACATAACCATGACCTGAGCCTTTCATTTTGCAGACCAGGGAGAAGAAGTGACTTTTCTCATTTGTTCATTGATTTAAGTTCTATTTAGATTCTGAAAGAAAACCAAAAACCACCAAAGGGTTCTCCAGATGTCACAAATTAGTCAAATACAGACCAAGCTGTCAACTTCTGAGACCTTCCACTAGATTATTAAGAGTCTGTAAAGCCTTCAGAGATCCCACTGTTTTCTGCAAAGGAGAATCACAGCCATCTGAAAGGACAGCATGATTCCCAGGAAGTCTCACCTGCTCCATCCCAGTGTGATTAGCCCTGGCACAGTTGCCCGTGAATGCAGCCAGACTTTCTGGGCCTCAGCTGGCTCGTGTGCAGCCAACTTGCACATTTCTGCTCTTGTGCCTCCCTGTCTGCACAGATGGAGGCAGCTCTGTCTGCTGCCTGTGCTCCCAGGAGTGCAGACACGCTCACCCACTCCTGGAGGGGGAGAGAACCGGCACTGCCCAGCCCCGGGCACTGCCCTGTTCTGGGAGGAACACACGGGGGGCATTGCCAACTCTGTGTTCCTGGAGACAGCCCCAGGGTTACCAATCATCAGTGCCCTCCTGCAGGAGCACAGCAGCACACCGCTAACATCCAAACACACCTCACACCAGGGGATGCTCCAGGCCCAGGCAAAGAGCCTGGATGGGCCAGGGACTGACAATGGAGACAGCTCCTCAGAGGTGCTGCAGAGCAGGAGCACAGGTCTGCTCAGCCACGCCCTGCAGGGGCCCATCTTCCAGGGAATTCACTGTCTGCAGCTAAAACTGCTTTTTCTCACGCGAAACCATGTGAGGAACAACACAGAAGTCACCTTTTGGGAGTCCCAGAGGCTGGATGTTTCTGTGGACTGATTTCAAAAAAGTGAATCCAGTGGGGATGACAAGATGTAACCTACAGCAGCTAAATTTAAAACAAGCAGGTTCCCTTTAGAATATATAATGCAAGAATCTGTTCTAAGGAAAAGCATTACCAGTAGGGCATGAGAAATCTAGAAGCCCCTCTTCTGAAGCTTTAATAATAAAAAATCAGAATTGATGGCTGAGCTGATGTATCAACTTTCAAGTCACATTCTGAGAATGTGACAAAGATTTCATTCAGAAAATCCTTAATGAGATATAAGACCTTGATGCCACACCAGAGAAGGTAGAAAATTTGGGTTCTATAAATGGTACAAATCTCTAGAGAGATCTCCATGCAGAAAATATAGTGCTAACCTCCTTACAACCATAAATATTGTCCTTCTCTTCTCTGTGCAAAGAAAGACACAGGCAGAAAATAAACTGTATAAATTTTCAGATGTACAATTAGTGACCATAAAAATCCTAACTGCTATGCAGAAACAGCAGCAGGACCAATAACTGCCTTTTAAGAACTGTTGGACAAAGAAAGACTTCTGCATTTCAAATGTTTTATTAGCAGATAAATACTTTCTTGCTGTTGATTGCACTCCTAATTATTTACCCAGGGTTTCAACAATTTACATTATCAGCAGTCTAGACCAGAGGAGAAAAACACAAGCACTGACTCACGAGTCAGTTACTGGGGCTGCCACTTGCAATTTGCTACCATTTGTAAATAAATTAAAGTGCCTCGAAAAGGGTATCAATAAAAGAAAATATTAGACCTCTAGCAGCCAGGTAGAAATTATTCCTTGGGCTCCATTTCTAAACACAGCAAAGAGCTGCCTCCAGAGTGTCAAAGGCTACGCTGACAGCAGCAAATCTCTCTGCCCTGCCTACGTGACTCTGAATACATCAGTGCTGCTCTGGGGCTGGAGCAGGGGAGGAGGATCTGCTTGTTCTGACTGTTCCTATGGAAAGCTGATGGACTGAAAGGCCTCTCCTAAGCCAGCACAGCTTGAGTGCCCAGTAAGGATGAAAATCCCCCCCTGCAAAGGGCCAGGAGTCCCAGCTCACCCCCAGCCTGGGCCCTCGGGAACACGGCCGTGCCTGTGGTCACCTGGTACTGCCCCAAAAAGGGAGTCAACTGCACACCAAGTTTGCTAATACAGTCAAGAGCTTGTGAAGAGCCCTTCAGATTAAGAGGGGTCAAGTTCTGTGAGATCTGAGTACCTAAATGCTAACAGCCCTGGAGAACCTCAAACCCCCTGCACTTCTCCAAGTGTTGTGCCTTCCTGAAGCACTCAGGTCCTCGAGTGAGCGGAGTTTGGAGAGAGCAGCGTCCCCCAGGCAGCTCCAGAACACCACAGAGGCTTCTCTCAGCAGGAGGGGAAGGGCTCTCAGGGCACCCAGGGGACTCTTTGGGTCCAGCAGTCTGAATGCTGAGCAGGCTGTCCCACAGCCCAGCTCGAGTCCACCTGGCCCTGCTGGCAGGAGTGGCACTGCAGGGAGCAGCAAAGCCCGTACAACCCCAGCTGCAGGAGCATGCATGGGAACAGCAGCTGTGTGCTGCTGCAGGGAGGAAAACCAGCAGAAAAAAAGCACAGATGGGGCTTAAGAGTATGTATGGAACTGAGGCATAACATGATGACATTTCCAGCCCTGGATGAGCAGCATAACGTGGCTGTTGCCCCCCATGCAGCACCAGAAATCATGCAGAGAAAACTGAGCCATACACACCTAGAGAGGTACCGGGGCCTGAGGGTTAGAGCTGCTGTGACATCACCCACTAAGCCTAGAACAGGACAGAGAGAGCAGGAGAGCAGCCTGAAGCACAACCAGCTACAAGAGAGAGGAAAGAGAAGACAGAGTTAGTTAGTAAGGTATTATATCACAGCCTCTTCTGTACAGTCATCTCCAAAGTTCTGCTATGTTATAGAAATTATTTATTACACTGTTTTCCTCCCAACTTGGAGGAAAAAGAAACAATATGCAGAGAAGCCAATCCTGAGACTCATAAGGAAAAAAACCCCCACCCTAGTTAATCTGATTTGTGATCAATGCTCGTGTGTTTCTGTGAGATTTACTGTTGGTGTCCTAAATCAGGAAAAGCTCTAGACTGGAACGGGGATGACTGAATGCTGCAAACTGGATACTGGAGCCAGACAATTTAAAACACAGAAACCTAACATGATGCTCTCAGAAATGAGAACTGTTATTCAGGCATGCAGCTTTAGGCCCCATGTCAGATGTACAAGCTCCAAATGGCTCAAGATCACTGTTAGAAAGGGGACATTCACTTCCAGAAGATGCCCAACAGCCTTACAGCCACCTTCTCTGTTCCACCTGTCTGTAAATCTGATCCTACACAACACCAAGGGGAAAGCAGCTTTTGGGATATCAGGTCGTCTGTGTAGCTCTGCAAATCTCTGACCTCCTTTGTCTTGAAACATCTAGCACCAAAACCTCCCTGGGCCAGTGACTGCCAATTCAGGCCCTGTTTTTCTGGAGCACGCAGAGAGCAGAATCCCTGTGGCAAAGGATGGATCTGGGAGGCAGCACAGCCAGGCTTCAGCTGCTACCACAGCAAAAACGGCACAGAATGCAGAGCCAGGACCAACTCCTGCTGCTGGTCCCAGTGCTTCAGAGCATTTTCAGAGAGGAATGTTGGCCCAGCAGATTTTATGCTTGACCAGGTACTGTCTGCCCTCCCGAAGCCAGCATAAACACAATTTCTTGTGTTTCAGCCAAATTACCAGAAATACGATCCTTTCTTTGCATGGATCCAACCTCAAGGGCATGGAGCCATCATGCCAGAAAAACTCATTTTTTCTTAAACTAAACAGAAGTTAGTTCTGTGCTCAAAACTTACTACATATAACAAAACTGCACAAAGATATGCCCAAAGATGAAAGTCAGGAGGCAGAGTGAGAAAAAGATTAATTCTCAAGCAAATGACCATAGGGAATAAATTAAGCATAATTTGGTTTCTGCAGACAAAAGAGTAACACCTTTGAAAAAAAGAATTTATATGGATATGAAAACCACATTCCAGATAGACTGCTTCTCAGACCTTACACTGAAATCTATCCCGAGCCTGGGTCCTCTTGCTGCTCTGGTTGACTGAGTTCTAATCTGACCCTTAACGTGACAACCTCCACCAATGAATAGCAATGAGGAATTCACAAAGAAACCTATTTCAGTGTAGTTCTCTGTAGGCACAGACAGACACACTGTGCTGGTGTCAAAAGAACAACAAAAAAGCTGCTCAGGGTGGTTTTGTTCCTCTGGACAGAGGCAGTCTGTGAAACAAGGTTTAAACTTGGGAGTGAACAAGAGCAGAGGAAATGGTGACCGGAGAAATGGTGAGAGGAGAAAGTCCCTGAGAAGGAACTTTGGGTCTCAGGGACACAGCAATGAACACTGCAGCTCACCAGCTCTGTTACTGCAGGGAAAATGGCCAATGTGCAATATCTGAGGGCTTACATTAGTCAGGAACTTCATCTCATCATCCAGCAGGAATAATTTTGCAGAAATACATAAATTCTGCAAATAAATTTGCAGAATATCATACTATGATCTGGGTTTGGCAACATCAGCGAAAGAATCCAGACACACCTTTGTACACACAACACAGTTCCAACACTTCCCTCACTGCAGAAGTGACTCTGGTCAGCAGCAGCACAGCATCTCTAATCTTATCATAATGGCTCCCAGTCAATTTAAAAATTAATGCTTTAATTAACCTCTTAGTTAAAAGCACTGAAATCATTTCATATCGTAGTACCCTAGAAAAGATACAGTTCTCAGGAAAAAAAAGGATATAGAATTTTCTTGGATCTAATACAATCTATTAATCAGTGCACATTTAAATGACACCAGTCATCTTTCTGCAGCTTCCCTTCAGTAGAGATCCCTCACTTCTGCAGTTTGATACTGGAATTTGTCAGGTTTTCCTCCCAAGGTTTCAGGCTTGGTGACACAGTGTCTGCACAGCTTTAATGACACTGTAGCTGTGTTCCCCTAATAAGGTACATTTCAATTTCTATACTGTATTCCCAAATGGAAAGGAAAATAAATTAGAGCAATATAGAACACCTTTCTCACAACTGCATACACATAACAGCATAAATAATTCAGTTTAATGCTCTAAAGTTCGAATTGAAATATTTTTACAGGGCAATTTTTAAAGTCAATGTTTTAGCCTATGATTACTTTTACCCAACAGAAAAAAAAAAAAAAATTCCATTTCTTCTGGAAATTTGTCATTTATAGACCAGAACAGTGCAGCAGCACCTCTCTAAAGCAGAGCTCTTGGTCTGGGGCTCCAAAGGACTCTCCATTCAGAGGAAGCTGAACTTCTCCTTCACAGAGTGCTGTTCTGCCACACTTCCTTCAGAGATTGGTGTTTGTGCTAATTAAGCATAAACCAGCACAGCAAGATGGCATCGTGTTCCTTCACACCTCCTGAGTGTCCACACCAGGGTTTAATGGGCATGTGACAGTCCATAAACTCAGCCGTGCACTGTAAATTCTCTGTGTAAACAAACAATCCTCATGTATTTCCAAGGGAGTGTCCAGGAGGAACAGTTTTTGTAAAAGCCTGGTAAATACCACAACACCCACCAAGGCAGAGACCAAGGTGAGTTCTGCCCTCAGGATGTGGCTGCTGGGTTTGAAGGTGCCTGCTGCAATCCCTTGCTGCTGCCCTCCCTCCTGGGTGTTAAATCTGCCACCTTAGCCCCGGCCATGGAAACATCAGCAGCATTAACACTTCATTTCTGCATACAGACAATCAGCTTTGCATCATTTCTACTTATGTACTGTGGCTGGGCAGCATTTGGAAGGCAGCACTTTCACTCCCGTATCAAGAAGCCAAGTCTGAAATAACCAGCTGAGTTGAATGCTGTGCACCAACCTCATGGAAACAATTCTGATTATTTTGATGATTTCAGCAATTCCATTTGCTTAGCACTCTATACACTATAATGATCAGGCCTATGTTTACATATCCTCAGAAACTTTTATATTTTTCTTTATATTTTCTGGTTTTCCACAGAAACAAAATGCAACTTGAAAATTAAAGGCAGAACGAACAAGATCACGCTTTGCGATCTCTCGTGGAATAGAAATAGTAAATTTGCTCCTTCTCAAACCTCTGACACCTCTTCTTCTGCGCTGGAACTTGCCAAACATGATTGCCACCAGCCTGATTAGCTGGCAGGCCGATCACTTTAACACCCCAGGACACGTGTCCTTGCATAGCCAAGCTGCTGCACGCCATCGATTTTCCAAAGGTCTCCCCCCCTGAAATCAATAAGGAGTTCTGCTTGGAAATGGATTGCACTTTGTGTTCCCTATCCAATTCACGGATATTCCGGTTCCCCAGTACTCTGAGAGCTGCCTTCTGAGAGCTGCCTTCAGCAGGAGCTGTGTGTGTGGAGCGTCACCCGCACCAGCAGACACCTCAGCCCGGTCCTGGCATCAGCAGACACCTCAGCCCGGTCCTGGCATCAGCAGACAGACACCTCAGCCCTGGTCCTGGGGAGTGGCAGTGGCCACTCCTGCTCATCCTGTACAGAGCAGGGAATTCCACGGGAGTCACGGTGCCCCAGCAGTGCCCCCGCAGCAGGAACAGCCCCGTCTGTGTCACTGCCAGGTACCAGCAGTGCCCAGGCCCCGCTGTCTGCCCCGAGCCATCGGCAGCACGGCCTGCCCTGCAGCCTGAGCCACCCAAATCAATGCTCTGCTCTCAGAACAAGGCCATTTCAGCCAGAAAAAGATAAAGATCAGAAGCAGCACAGTTCATAACTCCACTCCCTCATTCCTTCCCGTGCATTTTAAAGCCTGGCTTCATAAATGCACAATCCAATCTGGCCCCAAATAAGCCAAACATGAACTGTTATAACCTCATGCAGTTACTTCCACAGACTACTTAAAAGATTTCATTAAACAATACATGAGGTTCCTCACTGTTCTGGGTTTCTGAATGTTTTGAGTTTTGCTAAAAGGGCTTCCATTTTAAGAGAGAGGTTACTGGCAGGAACGTGTCTTCAGGTGGCTGCATGTGGGGAACCACAGCTGAGAACAGCCTTGTATTTATTTACGAGCACTGAATTTCCCGTTCACAGAACGCAGGGACAGGAGTCGGGGGCAATTTCCACAGCCAGGCCAGCTTCTCATGGGCAAAACAGAGCAACTGAAATATTACAGGAAGGCTGGAAAATCCTGCAGACACTCATAACTCTTGCATAAAAGATACTGTTGTGCTGCCATCAAACAGATAAATAACAGAATGGCGAGTGCCAAAGCTGAGGTCAGCCCTGCAGTCAGGCAGCCTGATGCCCACTCCAAATGCCCCTGCAAGGCATCAGCACACAACATATTTAGGCACCACATTTAGGCAGCTTATTTAAACTAAGAGCCATTAGGCAGAAAATTGTCCTTTCACTGCACATTTTGAGAGGAGACGGAAAAAAAAAATCCAACTGTGACCCCACAGAACAGTGAGTGTTTTAGCTCAGCAACAGATGTGTCAAATGACTTATCCCAACCATGAGGAGTTAATTGATGCTATAAATAGCACTCTGCACACACACACAAAAATCCACTTAATTCCAGTATCCAGAGCACACAGTCTAGCTTTGCTTATCAGTAAAACTATTTCCCTTTAAAGAAGTGGGCTGGGGTGTTTTACATGTAGATTAACACAGAGAGATAATTTGATTTCAGGCTATTGAGAGATTTCCTTCCTTTTATGTTTCAGAAGAGCAGGGCTGCATACAGCTAAATGAGATCCATAGATTACAGTAGAAGAAAGGCTAATAAAACTGCACAGCCACATTCCTGGGTAATAACAAATGCTTTTTAATTCTAGGGCTGCAATCTTGGGGTTTATGGGGGCATTTCCAATTACTACTTTTAAGATTAATGCAAACAAATGCATCAAGAGAAAACAGATCCTTTAACCCCTCTGAATCAAATACTTACTATCTCCCATAGCATTTTAAACAAATAAACTGGCATTGCTAGGAAAAAAAAAATCACAGTTCTGAAGTGATCAGAGCAAGCATCTTCCCCGTGGTTTCTGACCTGCTTTCAGGAGAAAAAAAACCCAAAACAAAAGCCCCTCAGCTGTTTTCCAGACCATGTGTCTTGTTTATCTCTCACAGCCATATCTAGTGGGTTGTGTGGCTGCTCCACTGCTCCACCAGGGAGCTGAAAACATCAGCACAAACAGGAAAGAACAGAATGTCAATATTCATGTTTCATTCCTGAAGCTACTAAATCAAATTAATTTTATTAGCTGCTTACCAAGCTATCCAATGCATTACTCTCCTGTATTTCCACCTCTCACTAAAACCAACCCTCTTTGGACCCGACGCTGCTTTCAACCAGGAACAGCACCAATGAAGATTAGAGAATACAGAGAGGGAAGAAACACAGTGAGGCCCACTACCTCTAAGTCTCCTCAGTAACATCTGTGTCATTCCAAATCCAGTATTTTTTTTCCCCAAGCTATGTTTGGAGGCCTGAGGCACCAAGTAAATGCACTGTGTGAGACCGAAACTATTGATCTGCTTTCTGCAATGGCATGTGCTGAGCAGACCCTTCTGTTTCAGCCTCTGCAGATTTAAAATGCAATCCAAGTTCACCTTCCCCTGTAAGTTTAGGATGCAATCCAAGTTCATGCTGATTAACACCACAGCTTTTTAGTATTACAAGGCAAACATGCATTTGAGAACTAATAAATAATTTCTGAGCAAAATAAAAGTATTTAGCTCATGTGATGTCTTGAATAATCATTCCTTTCATGCATAAACATATAGAGGCAGAAAAAACAGATACATTTTAATGACAGCCCTGGAGAAAGTCATCATTCCATACGGTGCAGTTTGGCACACCACATCTCCCAACAGAAGTCCCTGTTCCACACTGCAAAAACACCCTGCTCCAGTGAGGGGGTGCCTGCTTGAGGGGCAGAACAGTCACCAGAACTGCAGTTCACCTGCCCTGTCTCCAGGTGCTGAATCTTCAAGGCAGAAATCCTCACCCCTGGAAGCATTTTCTCCTCTATTAGCCAAGAATCTTGGCTTCTCCGGGGTTACACTGACAGCCTAAGGAGCCCTCAGAGAGCAATATTCAGGACATGCCTGGTTCATATCAGTGGGTAAATCAGGATGCCATAGTAACCCCATTGATTAGTGCAGACTCCAGTACTCTTTACTCCTTCAGATCTTCTTTGCATGGCCCAGACAGGCAGTGCTGTGCTTACACTGCCAAGTGTTACATTCACACAGCCACCAGCACTTATTGTTATTACATCACTGCAGCAAGTGGCAATTTTCACAGCTGAGATTCATGTCTTCATTATAAAAGCATTTTATTCAATGGTTTGTGGCTCTATCAAAATTTAAGGGTTTGGGCTGAAGTTTTCCCTGGTAGGTCTTTCCTTCAAGGCCAAATTTCTCTTTTAGGAAAACTTCAGTGAGAGTAACTGGGCTGTTTCCTGTATCAGCTGGGGAAATCTCTGTGCAGGTTTCTGCCATCAGAGGCTCTGCAGACACAGCAAAGCCCCTGCTGTCAGGAGCAGCCCCGGGGCTGCCAGCACAGCACAGGGACAGGGGCCTGCCTGCAGCTGGGGACGAGCTGGGAGCCTGGCAGGGCTCACCACCACCCTCAACAGGCAACCAGCAACACCCCAACAAACCCCCAGGGATTCCCCCATCCCTCTTTTCTCTCATGGAAACCTGTCCTGAACCTGACCTTCCCCCAAGCCTCCTTCTGACCGCATTTAAACATCTGCTGAGGTCGACCCTGGCCTGAAGAGCAGCAGGAATTGGGCAAGGACTGGATTTAGGGGTCACTGCCAACCGTCTTTTGGGCAGATTTTCTTCCAGAGAGCTACAGTTGGACTCTGACCTCACCCCTTGCAAGCCTATCCTGCATTTGTATCTTTAACTAAATCTTAATGCTTTCTTAATTGCCCATCAAGAATATTTCTTATTTCCAGGAACACACATCACTAATGCCTAATATTATGGTTATTTGGAAGCAGAAATATTTCTTCCAGATCACTGATGATCTGCTCCAAGAACCAACTTTCTATTCAAACATTCCTTTTTAATAACTGTTCTGCTAATAACTGTGCTAAGTTGGAAAAATAATCATCTGACTTTACTGTCTAACCACTTCAAACGTTTAAAGCAAATTCCCTCTATTATATCAAAATTAAAATCTTGCACTGTATAAACAGGAATGTATTCCAGTTATTATAAACACTTCTAACTCATTTCATGAAGACTAGTAACAGAGGTAAGTACCAAACAACTCAGACAGTAAATACAATGTAAACTCTACTGAGAATCTTTCCTACAAACAGCTTTGGAAGTTTAAATGAGCTATTTACTTCCAGTAAAATTTTTTGGTTTGACACATATAAAAGGAACAATGTTTAATCTAAAAACAATCAAATGAAAATGGCAAGAACTTTATAGAACTCAGTAACATGATACTTGTTTTTCAGAGGATTATTTTCAAGGAATGCTTGGCTAAAACTAAAATCCACCTACACTGAGAAAAATAAAGCAGTACACAGAAGGGAGCAGCATTTCAGGAGAATAAACAACAGAGTACTTTTATATTTAAACCCATTATTCCCTATCAAGTCCCCAGATTTCAAACAGACACACCAAAGCACTAAGGTGAATTTGAAGCAGCTGAAAATGTTTATGGTCATCCCCTAAGCAACCAGAGGACTGGCCTTCTGATCCTAGAAAGGCTAAGGCAGAGCTGGCAGGGAGGGAATGGGGAGAGGGAGACACACCTCAGGAGTGTAACCCCTACCCATGGCAGGAGGAGGAGGAGACCTGGATCAGAGATGGCACCAAGTCACAGAGGACACAACTGTCACCCCTGTTCCCCTCAGCTCTCAGGAGCATTTCCCTTTGCCAGAGCCTCACCTCACAACCAACCACCCCAGGGGCTCCTGCCCCGCTTCCACTTTCAGATCTATCACAGCTGTTCCCCCCTTCCTGCTCAACCACTCCACCACTATTTTAAACAAATGTTAGTAGGCCTTCAATAGCATACAAAGGAAGGCATTTCTGAGATGTGTAAAGACAATTTAATAAAAGGCTCATGATTTAAGAACGTACATAATGACAAAGCAAGATACTCAGGAGACCTGAACTCAGCTGCAGAAACACAGTACCTTTTACAGTGCTCCTTTCTTGCAGTGGCTTTAAGATGGAAATTCTCCTCTGGTTTGATGATAACTCTGTCAGAGAAAGAAAAAACATAACAAAGACATTTTTATTCCACCTAGGGGAAGTAGGAAGAGCAGATTATTTTTAAATAACTGATATCATTTACATGATACAGTGGAAATCTCTTGGTTGTATCTATCCTTTGGTTCCCCTTCCCTTCCTGAGTCATGCTGGCTTACCAAAAGGCATTACACCTCTGGTATCTGTTCCACCATCACCTGAAATGCCAAGAAAATCCACAGGAGTGGAGTATGGAAAGTGAACTCTGTAGGAGCTTGTTTGACTAACTGGCTATTGCAATCCTCTTGATTTCTGTCCCAGTGCCATATGTCCCATATGTGCATGTATCACACACTGCTGAAGCAGAATTCAATCCAATATATATTTAATTCCCCTTTAACTCCTAGATTTAAAATCCACAACTGTTTCTCTCGTAAGCATACACCACATCATCCAGGTCTAAATGCCATCTAGTGGCTCTAGAAATGTCAGCTGTGGCTCCACAAATACACCTCATCCCGTTTGACATCCTTCCTTCCAGCAGCAGGAAACAGAAATCAGGGCAGGAGGACATTCACCTTCAGCTCACCAGAAGGAACTCACTGCTTTTCAACATCTCACTTTTTGCCTGAGCTTCCTGCATCATTCCCACTACAGCATTTCTTACCTTAGCAATTTCTCCTACACTTACTGGAAAGAATACTGCCCTTGATTTTTGTTCTCCTTTCCACCTATACTTTTGTTGTTGTTGATTCAGAGACAGGTAGACAAGCTGCCTGAGGCTCGGGGTAAGAGCCAGTCCCACTACAGCAATTCCTGTGCAGCTGTGAGCTATTGAATCTTTTTTCATCACAAAACTGGGAGAAACAACATTTACCCCCTTGACAAGACCTGGAGAATGTGGGATGCAAAACACCAGGGGTGATCAGATACACCCACACCAGCGGTCTTCTGGTGATAATCCCATTTGTGTGGCCTGACATTTACTGCTGGTTAGCAATTAAAAACTACTTGTCTTTTCAGTACAAACCCAGTTGTTTGACTCCCTTCTCTCAGCAGTGTCTGTGGAACAGGGACAGCCCCAGCGTGCCGGGACCGTGGCAAACAGCTGGATCAGCTGATGCTGCCGTGCCACTGCAACTGGGCACTGCTCTGTGTCACCTGGTGCCAGCCCAGAGACTCAGCCCCACGTCCTGAAGGCTGGAACCTGCTGAGGGCTCATGGCTGCACTGCCAAGTCCCCGTCTGATAACCTGCAGTGCAGGGCAGAGGGGCCAAACCCACCAGCTCGGACCACGCTACATTTACAGAACACCTGGGCTTCATCACAACAATGCTGCTTCATCCCAGTGATACACTTTTATTGCTTACAGCTCTCAGATGAGAAAGGTGGAGGAAAAAAAACCTGTTATGCCTTTTCAGATTGCTTGTTATCTCTCACTTGTAACTAATTATCCCAGTCACACTGCTAAAGACTGAGTGGTTTTATGTTCACTCGCCAAGAAATGACAAAAAAAGAAAGAAATTAGACAATTAGTCTCTAGCTATAAGAACTAATTAAGATAAATATTTTCAGAATAAGGAACTTAACAGAACATCAAGGCACTGACACTGCAAAAATGTCTGGGAAAGTAAAGCATCTCTCAGCAAAACCATTTCTTGCCAGTCAGTGAGCTCCTCAACTGCATCCCAACCACACTTCCTTCTTGTTCTACTCCAGTAAACATAATTGGTTATTAAAACTTCTTTCTAACATGGGGAGAATGTGAGTAGCTTACTGGACTATGGGAAAGCTTTGGGACCAATGCTGATGCTGCCCCCCTGCAAGTGTGCACTGCTGACAGATCAGTGTTTTCACACCAACACCGTGATGGGAAACACTGTCACAACCAGTTCTACCATTCCTGTGTCCTCACGTCTTATTTCTGCATCATCAGCTAAGCCTGCACTGTGCTGGCAATCCAGTCCCCACACCTTCTTGGTCCCTTACTCAAAAAGCTTCTGAACTTGCAGCCAAGTTCTTGTGAAGGCTTTCCAGGCAGTCAGTTGTGTGAGCAGCAACCTTCAGACAGGTACAGCACAGGAACTGCACTGCATCTGCCATCTGCCACAGGAACTGCACTGCATCTGCCACAGGAACTGCACTGCATCTGCCACAGGAACTGCACTGCCTCTGCCACAGGAACTGCACTGCATCTGCCACAGGAACTGCACTGCATCTGCCACCACAGGGAACTGCACTGGCTCTGCTGGCCCCTGGCTCACGCTGTGCCAGCCTCATTCCCAGTGCCAGGGAGCCAGCCTCACACAGTCAGACAAACACGCTGTGGGGCACGGAGCAGATCCTTCACCTCTGCACAGAAACGGGGGCAATGAACGCTGCCAAGTGTGAGGCAAGCAGAGCAGTTCACAGTAAATGAGACAATAAAACGCTGTGGACAGACAAGCAGACTGCTTTTTCAATTCAGATGCAATACCACTATAAGCACACACTACAAAATCTTGCCAAGGGCATGAATGGAAAGCCTTTCTCTTTGGCTCTCCCTGTCACTCAAATGTCTGGCATTTCTGGCATTAAAATAACTAATAAAGAATATGGATGACATAATTTATTTGGTAACAGAAAAATTACCTGCACATTCACGGCTACAGCCCTCACTGCACACTTCCAACCCAAAATCAGCCCCAAGAAGTCACGTTTCTCTCGCTTACAGCAGCACATCACAACTTCTGGTACCAGCAGCTCCACCAGTGGAACAGAGTCCAGTGCAAAAGAGCTCACTTGCTCCCAAATTGATTTGTCTGTCCATGTTTTGTTGTTATTGACTGCAAGAAGCTGATACCCTCCAATGCTATGCTTTCCTTGGCAGGAGCTTAGCCACAGATAAATCAGCAGAACTTTAGGCAGAACTGAACAGCATTCTCTGGGCTGCATTTGGCATCTGCTGTGATTTACTTTCTTAACCAAGAGACAGGGAGGAGAGGAGAAAGAATTTTTTCCCCAAGCACCTTCTCCCTTCACCTTCTATCTTCATTTGCTAAACTGTTTTATTTTACAGAGAAATGCAGAGTATTCTGACTGGCAACACAGTTCTGCTTTTATGTAAGGTATCAGATGGCAAACATGAGGTATCTACATTACACAACCCAGTGTGTGGGCACATACCCTGTCACAACTTGCATCAAAACATATGAAACAGTCATGGGAAGTGAGGTCTCTTCACTTAGAGATGTGATACAAACACAGCTACCCCACAACAGCCACGCTGTACACTCATTATGAGGCTTTCCATCAAAAGAGGCGGACTGCAAGCTGTTTGATATTCTAATATTTACACTCAATTATCTCTAGAAATTTATTGAAAACAGTATTATTTTTGTGTTACTTAGGAGCTCTGAGTTCCCTTATAAACTCCTACTCATTCTTAATTATAGTGTAAATCAGCATGTTAACAGCGAGCGAGCAGCCATGAACTAAAGCAGCCGATACAAATGCAGACAAAGTTCGGACAGAAGCGGTGGCAAAACGCCCAGAAAAGTTCCAAACCCCCTCTGAACAGCTCAGTCATCCTGGAGAGATACACAGACCCCTCAGAAGAGATGCACTGGATAACAGCAGTTCCTGCCAATAAATTTTATATAAATATTACCAAAGCAGGAAAGAGCCCATGCATCAGTACACAGACACGTCACAGATAAGGACTCTTTTCAGATGTCAGGGCTGAGAATGTACAGCAGGCTAGAAAATGTCACTCCAGTCACTACGTGAACCCCATCACTCCTCGAGGAAGCGACGCTGAACTCACCTGGCAGAGCCAATCACCTTTCCTGGGCTGCCCCAGTGTGTGCATGGGGACATGGCACGGTAAAGGAACATTTACAGCACGTGGAACTGCACAAACCAACACACAGTGAGTCACTTCACTGTGCAGAATTAAAGCTCATCCTTCCTTCTGAAGGAAATGTCACAGACTTCTGTGTGTTGGGTAAATTAATATTTATAAGAAGCCCAGACAGTTTAACGTTTTTAATACGGGACTGAGATTTCCTCCTGAACATCAAACAGAGGAGTTGCATTAAAACAGCGGTTTCTTGATTGCCACAAACCTAAATGACAGCATTGCCAAGCTTTGTTTTCCATCGTGTCACACCGATTAGCAACTGTACACAACTGGGACACGTGCAGGATCCCCCGAGTAGCCGTGAATTAGACATTCCTGACTCTTTAAAGTTAACACTGATGATCTCCTTAGCAAGGGCCTGCTGACAGCTGCTCGTGCTGCTCTCCTAATATTGCTGCTCATAAACACACATCCAGGAATGCAAAACCAAGGTATACACATAGCCTGGTATCACACAGGTGCACATCCACATGTAATAAGGGAGACTCTGCCAACAGCGTTGTTTTCAGAATTTACGTAGCAATAAAGCTGTAGCTGAACACCTTTTATAAAAAAATGCAATTTAGAATTTTACAGCCTGATACGTGTAAGAATTCAGCACACCCAATTAAATTAAAATGCAACACTTGATCACCTTTCATGGAAGTTTTGAAGGGAATTTTGTTGTATTTCATTTTAATGTGAAGTTTCATTTAATGTAGATGACAAATGGCCTGATTTTGTGTTCTAATATGCTAAGGTTATCCCAGTAGAACATGACTGTGTTCATGGGGTAACCAAAGTCACCTTTTAGGTATTACAGAAAGAGGATACATTTATTCATTTATGTGGGAGGCAAAGGTGATGTTCCAAACTTTTATAACGAAATTTATCTTGAAAAAAGAAGAAGAAAAAAATTAATCCTGGTTTTACTGATAATACATCAGTGCCAGTAAAGCTCACAAGTGCAGGAAACTGCCTGTAGCTGGTTTTATTCTCCAGGGGAGAATTTCCTCTCCCAAAGCAAGCCAGACCCAGTTCTGTTATCACTGCCAAGACTGTTTTGTCTGGATAAAAATTTCACGTTGAGGCCTGTAACTGACTGTAAATAAAATTCCAAATTAATCACCC